TAACAGTTGCTGGTCCACACATAATGAAAAGCCTTTAATATCGTATACCTCTGGTCTTTATGAATCGCCCACGTGAATGTTGACCCTGTCGGCGACGCGTCCATCTCGCGCTACACGCGAATGTAAGTAATTAAAACGGTAATTTATTGAGTGGGTTTTTCTTGGGATAAATACAGGTCTCAATTTATCCCATGGGACCCGATCTTCATTTTTGCCAGACACCACGCGCCCGAGCTGGGCATTGCCGACTTTGGCGAGAGCGAGGAGCAACGCAGACTGAGGAGACACACGCCGCTCGGCGCCGAGAAGTACGAGGTCGGAGCCACGTACACCTTCGATAATCTGGCGCTGGGCAACAAGGCGGGCGACTACACTGTTTCGTGAACATCGCGAAGGGAACCCCACCGAGGACCCCGTCACGCCGCTTACGCTGGGCAAAGCGCCGCCGCTGTTGAAGCAGTTCTAAAAACTCAATAGACGACCTGACTCTCATCGTCATCGTACACGTGCAAGTAGGTTACCTTTTTTTACTACCCTTATTTCACCCTGACCGGAACTTTTACCCAGAACTCTTTCTTAGTGAAAATGAGCGCATGTTTTAGGATTTTTTACTACCCTTATTTCACCCTGACCGGAACTTTTACCCGGAACTTTTTTCCGGGTAAAACACCAGGTCAGGCCAAACATCCGGGTAAAGCAAGAGTGTGCTTTGAATTGATATTTAGTAGCAGTGTTTAATACATGCTACGATGTGCTATGGTGTGCTTGGAAGTATGCAGATGTGCTGTACACGGCCGAGCAGTTCGTGTCGTTCGGGCCGCAGGCCGAGATCAAGGAGTACTGCACGCTGTTGTCGTACCATATCCACCGTCGTCGGCAATCCTGTCGCCCGAGCACAGCATGAATGAACTCAAATCTGACCGAGGCGTCGGTGCCCAGGGACGCCTGCACCAACAACGGAACGCACTGCCTCCGTTCCTGGCGTACTCGGGCTCGAGCAACGTCACGGCCTCAGTCGTGTACGTGTACAGCACGACTTTGTATGAATACGTGTTAATGCTGAACACGTACAGTCGATAAAAAAAACGTTCAACTCGTTTCAACAACAATCGAATGCTAAAATGTTTCAACAGTAACCGAGTAAATGCTGAAACCCGACGAATGTCTTAAGCGCCATCACATCAAAAGTTCTGCTCTTCCACCTCCATGGCCTGCGTGGCCCCGATATTCAAGCATCTCGGCGGCAGGTTCTACTGGTGTAGCGTATGTTGCAAGCAGTACAGCCTGGGCTATGCCGATGGAAGGACGCACTATCAAAACATGAAGGCTCACCTGAACACACAAGTCCACAACAAGAGGAAAGAGCGACTCGAGTCTCAAGCTCAACAGCAACAGTATCAGCGTGAGAGGCTGCAACTCGACCAACAGCATCAGAGTGGGCGTGAGGGGCTGCAACTCGACCAACAGCAACAGCATCAGCGTGAGAGGCTGCAACTCGACCAACAGCAACAGCATCAGCGTGAGGGGCTGCAACTCGACCAACAGCAACAGCATCAGCGTGAGAGGCTGCAACTCGACCAACAGCATCAGAGTGGGCGTGAGGGGCTGCAACTCGACCAACAGCAACAGCATCAGCGTGAGAGGCTGCAACTCGACCAACAGCATCAGAGTGGGCGTGAGGGGCTGCAACTCGACCAACAGCATCAGAGTGGGAGTAAACGCGCACGGCTTGTAGTCGACTTGACGACTCCTCCACCGCCGCAACCTGCGAGGCAGCAGAAGCAAGTGGAGACGCGGCGAGAATCTCAGTCTTCTGCTCGTCGCCAACTTCAGATGGACACCTTGAAGGAACGTGGCTCTACTAGTCGCCAACATGTGGAGAAGCGGCGCCCCTCTGCTCGCCAACGTTCGGTGGACACCCTGAAGCAACTTGAGCGCGGCTGGAAGTACTAGCAACGCAAGTTAGGTGCTAAGGTGTGATACGACAGCGCTTTCTCCGGGGTCTACCAAGGCCGGGCCGTCATTCTTTAATTTCCTTGCCAAGTGTTCAAGCTCCCTCCACCTCAACGGCAGCGCTCCAAGGGCAGCCAACCCAGCGGCCGATGCCCGGACAGTCGAGCCTCCAGCGTCCAATTCCAGCAATACAGTAGACCTCAAGGTAAGAGAGAGATTACAGGACATGTAAAGCATGAATGGAAGAGGTAGCGCTAGTGTTGCGGGTTGTGTGTATTGATTAAAGTCGCCCTCTACTGCAGACTGCCATGAAGATGGCGCCGTCCAGGCCCGCCGCCTTCGCGAAGCCCTTCGTGCTCCGCACGTTCGCCAACCCGACGGCCACGTCGCTGGCCATCGAGAAGTTCGGCGTGACGAACGCCAACACCATCCGCAACCTGAGCTACGACGAGATCGCCGCCCACAAGGCGAAGAACGGCGAGGGTCAGTTCGTCAAGAACGGCACATACACGATCGACACGGGCAAGTTCACGGGCAGCTCGCCCAAGAACAAGTACATCATGGACCAGGCCCCGTCCAGCCAGAACATTTGGTGGGGCGACATCAACCATCCCGAGAGAGCCGAGGTGTTCGACGAGCTGTACGAGACGGTCACCAAGCACTACAGCTCGGCCGAGAAGGTGTACGTCTTCGACGGCTACGCTTTTCGAGTCCGACTTCACCATCGTCAACGCCTGCAAGGCACTAACAAGAACTACAAAAACACGGTCTTAACTCGGAGGTCTTTGTTGCCTTCAAGATCGAGAACGACGTGGTCATCGGCGGCACCTGGTATCGCGGTGAGAAGAAGAAGGGCATCTTCTTGCCGTTGGACGGCATCATGGCCATGCACTGCGCGGCCAAAACGGTGACACCGCCCTCTTCTTCGGCCTGTCGGGCACGGGCCGCAGCGTTACCTCATCGGTGACGACGAGCACGGCTGGGACGACGAGGGCATCTTCAACTTCGAGGGCGGCTGCTACGCCAAGACCGTCAACCTGAGCCAGGAGAACGAGCCGGACATCTACAACACCATCAAGCGCGATGCTTTGCTCGAGAACGCGTTCGTGGACGCCGAGGCCAAGGAGCCCGACTTCTACAACACGTCCAGGACGGAGAACGGCCGTGTGTCGTACCCGATCTACCATATCCTGAACCACGAGCCCACATCGAGCGGCGGCCACCCGTCCAACATCGCGTGCACGCCTACGGCGTGCTGCCGCCTGTGTCCAAGCTGAGCGACGGTCAGGCCATGTACCACTTCCTGTCCGGCTACACCGCCAAGGTTGGTTGCCGGCACGGAGCGTGGCGTGACGGAGCCCGCGGCCACTTTCAGCGCCTGCTTCGGCGCCGCCTTCCTACCGCTGCACCCCACCAAGTACGCGAAGAAGCTGCAGAAGCACAACACGTCCGTCTACCTCGTCAACACGGGCTGCACCAGTGGCGGCTACGCATGAGCATCAAGGACACGCGCGCCTGCATCGACGCCATCCTGGACGGCTCCACCAAGGAGTCGCAGTTCTCGGACAGGGTTTGGTAGTAGTGGGAATACTGGCTAGTAGTCATACTACTACTACTACTACTATCCAAATTCTGGCAATAGTAGAATGATATATCTATTAGTAGTGAGGCATCGGTGGTACTAATAAGACTACTAATATGACTACTAATATGACTATTTGACCATCATTCCGAATTCCGAGCTCCATACCCAAAAACCTCCGACCCTCCGACTTTCTCCGACTCGTACACAAAACATGCGGATAGGAGGGGGGTCACCTTTAACTATCACCCAGCTACGCGCTACGCGCGAACCTAAACCCCCTAAAGGCTCGCTGCGCTCGCTGGGCCAGAACCCTAAGCCCGCTGCGGCTCGCACGCGTCGCCTCCGCTTGCTAGGTAGAGCACTGCTGGGTCCTGGGTTTGACAGTCCGTGTGCTACGCACACGGACT